TATTTTGTATGGTATGATCTGCCTGTGTAGCACACAAACTAACAACACTTTTCACTGTATCTTCATAAATGTGACAACAATAAATCAATCAAATCAGCTGAAAAGTTGATTTGCTTCCGTTGCTGTCAGTTTGGAGCCTCAGGGTCCATTCCCCACTCTCCCAGAACATTGCACAACCAAACACATGCTCAGCAGCATAAGTGAAAGAGCTCTCCCTCCCCCTTCTTAGTATTATTTAAAAGAATGATCAAATGCTTACAAATTAGCGCTGGTTGATTTCTTCTGGCTGTTGTTAAGATTATACAAGTGTTTGAGTGTTCCCTATTGTTGCTTCAAGTTTCAATTTCAGCTAGTGGGGTAGCAGGTCTTGACAAACATTTTACAAACTTTTATGGTGATCCCAAACATGAGTACTCAGTTGCTTGGAAGAATGAGGAGAGACCACACAGAGCAGGGCAAACTGCTGGAAGAAGGATGAAGAGCTGGAGAATGGGAGATCGTAACCTCGACAGCACATTTCTGCCTGGTTCATATGCGTAGAACTAATTCATGTGAATGATCAATAATCTCAACCCCCCCTTCCTTATTCAGCAACAGTCCCATAGTCCTTACCTTTGCTCTGTCACTGAGCATCACATTGTCCACGTGACCTTGAAGCAGAAGTAAAAGCCTACATAAAATACAATGTTCAAAATATTATACATTGAAATTCCGTCACACTGCTTATAGTCTTAAAGTGAACACTGCAGAAGAAGAACTGCAGACGCTGTAAATCAGGAACACAAAGAGAAGTTGCTGGAAAAGCTCAGCAGGTCTGGCAGCATCTGTGAAGGAGAAAAAACAGAGTTAATGTTTCGGCTCCAGTGACCCTTCCTCAGAACACTTTATGCGTAGCCTTATTACAAACCTGGAAAATCAATAGTTGGCAGGTAACATTCAGCTTCTGGGGGCATCTAATCCTGCTGACTGCTGTTGGTGGCGGGGGGGGCGGTGGTTGTGGAGTGCGGTGGTGAAGCACACAACTAGACTGGTCAAGACAGTGACTTAGTCAATGAATGTGAGTAGATATCGGTGCAAATCAAGCAGGGACGGCCAAGAGGGCACAACAACACCTTCTTCCTCAGGCAGCTGAGGAAATTTGGCATGTCCATAAGGACCCTCACCCTGTGTCTAGCCGCTTTGTGTCAGGACTTACAATGGAGGTGTAATGCAGATGTAAACTGGAAGTATTTCAGGGCAACAGAAGCAATTCCAATTAATTAGAATTTGACTGATGATCAGAGGCCATAGGTGGACTTGTCTTGGGAACTGTACGTGTGGCCACCAGACTGCAGGTGATGGGTACACATGGGAAAAGCAGCAAGTATGGCACAGGGTTAGGGTACCTTCCAGAATACTGCAGCTTCAACTTGCATTTCGGCAAGCAAATAATTTCAAAACTTCATCTTAATTAGGTTTTAATACTCTTTATGAAAAGTCAAGTCAATTCTATTTTAGTTTTGTTTGAGGATGTTTTAGAATACCCTCTGAAGCTGATACTTTCTAAGGTCCGGTACTATGGGGTGAGCAGTCCAGGATTTGAACCTCAGACCATCAAGGTGTATCTTGGCAGAGTGAGATATTGAAAGAAAGGTCACTGGAAAGGTTATACATCTTTAATCTATTCTTCCCTCTCCAAGGCTACACCTCCACCCATTGTTTACTCCTTCCCCTTCTCCCAAACCCGTCATCAGCACTATAAAGTTGAACACCTTTTCTTTATTTCTTTATTTCTCGGCCTTTATACTGTATGTTTTGGTTTATTTTTCTGCATTTTCAAATGGCGCCAGAGAGTGGTAACACTATACAAAACGTTTCACTGTATTTTGTATCAAAATACACGTGACAATAAATGAATAAATCAAAGACCAAATATTTACAAACAGAAACTATGTTCATCCTCTCAACTTTCTACATTAGAAATGTCTAAATGCTTATTTAAAATGGCACCAGGATGTAGAATATCATTGTAGTGGGGAGATGAGAAACACTGGGATTGTGTTCAAATCATGAAGGGTATCAGGAGAAAATTTCTTCTTTTTTCACTTCTGAAGGTTTTTCCATCCGAACAGTACTGTGGATATATCTTCACCAGATAGACTGCAGATGTTCAAGAAAATGGCACACCACCAACCTCGCAAGAGAAACTAGGGATGGGTAACAAATACTGGTCTTGAACCATCCACATGCCATGTAAGAATTTAAAAAAAAATCAGTAGCCATAATACACAGGTGAAAGGTATTTGGCAAAAAAAGAGAGGGGAACAGATTTGTCGACGCAGCAAAAAATCTGATGTACAATTTTGTTGGTAGCTGTTTACTGAAAATCCCAAAACAGGTGACCAAAAGTTTCCAAAAGCGATACCAGTTTAACAGTTTAGAGATGTGCAGCGATTAGTGCTTTATGAAATTCAAAAAAACAATTGAAAAACTATCTTCTGTTCTTACCAGAGATGCAGTTAAGGTTTCGATTTTTAGAAGAAGGATGATGAATGTGATAGGAAGTGAATAACGTGTGAATTGAAGTTTAGGAAATTTAGGAACCTGTTCCCTATCAGGAGGTTATTAAATCACATCTCTGGGAACGGGAGGAAAAGAGACAATAATCTAATACAGGTGATTGTCTTGCACCTGTCTCTACCCATTTACTTTCTCTTTGCTTTTTATTTCCTTGGTCATCCCATTTGTTTTGGCAAGTCAAAATAAAAATTCCGCAGATGTAGGAAATCTGGAATAACAACTGAAAAGCTGGAAATACTTAGCTGGGATAACAAGGTGTAGAGCTGGATGAACACAGCAGGCCGAGCAGGAAG